TATGTTATCTGTGTTTATTTCAAATTTAGACATATTTCTGGCTTTTATATTACTATTTTCCACACATACGATGTTGGTAGACCGCCGCCTATAATTAAAAAAAAACAGGTCGCCCGTGGTGATCAAAAGATTGGCCACCCCTCTTCTAAACCTACCTAAATGACCTACGAATGCAGGTCATTTCGACTAGTTTCGCATTTCTTTATTTTGAAATAATCGACATTTACAGGAAGCGATTGAACTTGCAATGTACAGTAATGTCTCTGTAATTAACGCTCAGATTACCCACAAAAATGGACAATTTTGGAAGAGGAGATACGATTGTTCGAGCCTTGTGGCTCGTTTTTTATGGTTATCGATTGTCAACAACTGTAAAAATGAGCTGCAAGGCTCGAATAATCGTATCTCCGCTTCCCAAATTGTCCATTTTTTTGCACAATCTGAGCGTCAGTTAGGGAGACATTAGTGTACTCGATTCCATCTCTAATGAATAGGCGATCACGGATAATCCTATACAACCTCGGCCGTCGTTCTCCCCTCGTACACCCCCTGTCGTTGGTTCGTTCTCGCTCTATTTCCGTGCGCGAGGAAACGGCTGGCAGTGATTTACGGGCTCGGTAATTGAAACCGACAAGGTTCCACACCGTGTCACGGACGAGGAGAAAGGGTTCCTCGCGGAAGAGGATCCCCAGTTTACGGAGCCGGTTTGGGGAATGTCGGGCTGGCGTTAACGACACCCTGTCAACCACGCGTCTCCGGAACTGGGACTTCCACGAGCAAATATTTAACGTCTCGGGCCCTCGAGCACCCGCGCGGCGCGGCTCCGACTCGCGTCGTAACACGGGTGTGGTCGGCGAGCTAAGCGTTTTCGCCTCGCCATTATCCTCCGAGACGCTTTGTTCCCGCACTTTGCCCTCCGCAGATTTTTCCAAAGTACTCGCGCGACAGCTCGTTCGGCTGTCTGAAAGGGTTGCTCGGGTCGCGGGCCAGCTTCGCGCGGCGCTATTACGCGGCCCATAAAAGCGGCCGCGCGAAGCAGCGACCGAAAAGAGCACGCGCCGCGGTTGTTAACCCTTTGGTCTCCTCCGGCGCTACTTTGCCGCTCTTACGAACGTGAAATCGAAAATACAAGCCTCTCTTTCGACAGCCCGGCTGCCGTGGAAGACACGCGCGTGCCGGACACGTGTTCCAACCGGCAACCCCGATATTTTTCCGGCCCTCTTCCGCCGCTAATGCCGCCGATTGCCAACACGCGCGCGAGACACCCTCTCTTTTCTCTCTTTTCTTCCCTTTTTCTCTGGCCCGCTGTTCGCCGGCTCGCCGCCATCGGACGTTTCATTGTCCGAGCAGCAGCATTGTTGGTCCCGTGAAAGGACATCGTTTCGAAGATTACGGGGGTTGGATTTGTCTGCAACGCTTCCGCGGCGTTCCCGTCGAGTAAATATTTCTTTCCCCCGGAGATTCGAGCTCCGAAAGGTCTTTAGACTGCAATTCGACGAGACGCAGATTCGAAAAAATACACAAACCTCCGGGGAAACTCCCCATTGGCGCGAGGAACGAGTGGTGCGCGCCCTCTCGAGCCAAGGAGGAGAGGAAGCGAGCGACTCGTGCGCTTTCGTGTGGTTTTTTGAGTGCTCCCAAAATATCCTGCTGCCCTCGGCAGAGCACGGGGAGAGATAAAGAGGGAGGACGTAGAAAGAGGGAGAGAGAGAGAGAGAGAGAGAGCCGGCCGCGGCGTGGACGAGATAGACAGAAAGAGAGAGACGAGATGGGAATGCCAGTCTTCGGTAACTAGTCATCCTAGCAACGTGGCTTCGCGAGTTCTTGCCGGTGACAAAGGTCGCCGAGAGAGGAACGAGAGGAGAGTCTTTGTGCGATCGGGCCCGATCGGCGCCGAGACACGCGTGCCACGCGCGGTTCGCGCTCGATCTTCTTCGCGAAGAATCCGCGAGGGTCGAAGTGGTGCTCGGAAAGTTCTTCTTCTCTCGAGAGAGAAAAGTTGATCCGTCCTCGGATCACGGCGAGAAACCGTGGCGGTGGCCGATAAATGGGCGATCCAAGGATCGAGCGGGGATAGCGACTGGAATAATATCGGTAGGGAAAGCCGGCGTCATCCCGGTGATATTAAGAAAAGCGGTCGGGAGGATGCCTCTGAAGATCGAGAGCGGCACCTACACGGTGAATCCGGTGGCGAAAAAGAACGTCTCGAAGTTCTTGCTTTGGAAACACTGGCGTAGGAGGTACGGCTGACTTTCTTCCAGTTTCAGTGTGCACGTGTCGTCGCGATCGGTTCGAGATCTCCTGCCGGCCGGAAATTAATGCACCGTGAAACCTTCTTTTTTTTTCTTCGCGAAGAACCGCCGCGGAGAACAGATCCTCGCGAATGCAACGGCCCGTTTCGTTCCATCACGAACGGTTTCACTGGGTCCGCGAGATATCGCCTTTCTCGCGACGGTTTCCAGCGCGCACCGGCTTAACCATCGTTAAGGCCCCGCCGGTTAACGACGTTCAATTGGCATTCGGTCGAACGCGACGGTAACGCGTGTCCGACCACAATGCGCACCGCGATCCGCGGACATTGCACGCTGGACATTCGACACGCACGAGAGACACACGCAACGATGCACGCAACGACGCGACCGGATCGCGCGTCGTTGCACACGTTCGTTCGACATTTTCCAGAGGCCCCACGCCGTCATTCATTCCCACGCGTGTGCGTTCGCGCGACGATCGACGCCGCGATCACGATCGCGATCAGGATCTGGATCACGATCGAGCATGATACATACTCCGATCACCTTGCACTCTCTTCTCATACCACCGCTTGGTTGCACGCATCGCCCCTCTTCATCCGCGAAATCTGCGAACCTGCACTAGGCTGCACCTTGCACCGCGAGAGCAAACATGTAGAGCCTCGACGCGTCTCGGGACGCGTACGAGTCCCCGGGAATGCGAGGATAATGCGTTCGGAACGTGTGATTTGCCGTGTACGATACCGAGTGTGTAACTAACAGTCTAATCGGAACGACGCCAACCCCTCCCGGAGCCTTCGATCGAAGCAGCCGTCACCGTAGATCCGGTAACATCCGTAGATCTCTCCGTAGATCCCGAAATCCTTCGCCGCGCTCGATCGCGTGCCGCTTCGATCGAACGCTCTCTCCTCGAGGGGTAGCGCGATTTAATAATCACTGTAACAAAAGCATGGTCCTCCGAGTGCTCGAATGATCCGAAAAGTTTTATCAATTTATTTATGTATTCATTGGATATTGGGAAGTTGCCCATTAGTTATAAAATTACTAAGACAACAGCAGCTTTTTAAATGAATACGACGCGTAATCCGAGTACCCGGAGACCTCTACTAACAGCATCGTTTGTGAAAATTGTAAATTGTCCGACTGTGATGTGCGATCAATTAACGCTTATCGGGCGGGAACAGGATCGATCGATCGATCGATCGGCCCGACGACAATGCCGATTCCTCTTCGCGCACGAGCATCGCCTCTCACGCCCCCGTAATGCATGCGATTATTCTTGAAAGGGGAAAAGAGACGGAGAGAGAGTGAGCTGCACTGGACCGATGCACCGGCTTGCACGCTGCCTTGTGATTGCGCGCGGCCGACTCGAACCTCGCGCGAATCTCTCCCACGATCGGCTCCGCGAACAATAATTTGGAGGCGTGTGCGACCAGCGAACGCGACAATTCGAAACGGACACGCGATTATTCCTCGAATCGTCGTAGAATCGGGGAACGGTTCGATTTCCGGCGCTGGTCGGCGGTCCAACAATGTTCGCTTCTCGAGAACAGAGAACGTGGAAGCTCGCGGCTTGTGTACATACACCAACGGACAGCGAATTTATTACGTCCGTCTGATCCGCGCTCTCCGTCCGATCGTAAAATTAGATCCCCGGAGGATGGATCGGTCCACGGTTGCTCGCTCTCTCGGTTCGTAGAGCCCGCAACGGACCACGCGCTTTTGTTCCGCGAATCGCGACGAAACAAGTGTTCGCTCGCGCGGATTCGCGGCTCCCTCGGGGATCGTCGATTCTTTCGGTCGACTTCCCGCCGCGTTTTCTCCCGGACAAGTTAACGACGTCGCCGTGATAGATGTCAAAAGTCGCGCGGCGGTCGTTTCACCGGCGATTAAAAAGCAACGCGTGAAAGCGGAGAACGCGGGTACGCGCGGCGCCAGCTTCCAATTAACGTCCGCGAGGAAATCGATCCATCGTTTCCGTCAGCTGATCGTAACAGGGAACGAAACCGTCGGCGCCCGATTCGCACCGCTTTCCCGTGGCTCGCGTTCACCGGTTCGCTCGATCATTTGTCTCGATCATCGGGGCGAACGATCGAAGCGGCGGTGCTTCCCTCGTTCGCTGGATCTCGAGAGCCTCGACGATGGAGATGTTCGATTCGCCTTCGAGAGTATCGAAACCGAAGAACCGACTCTGCTGAAGTCGATGCGAGAAGGATCGACACGGAAAACGATCGATCTTTCTCAACCCCTCGCGCCAAGATTTCCTTCGCAGCTACGCTCGCGTCGGACAGTATGTCAACGCCATTCGATAGCGGAATAACTTCTTCGAAATTTCTGCAAACGACTTGAACTTTGCTGAAGATTAAACGACGAATTTGGACCTTGCATTTTGGATTTGCGGATGATTCGTCCGTAGCGCGAATTCGCCGAACCAAAGCGATCGATTTGCTAAAGAATAGAACTAAAATCGAGCATCTCTATTCGACGATCGCCGGTAGACGCGTCGGATCCTGTGCTATTACAGGCGCATTCTAATCGAATCGGCTGTAAAAAAAACGTCCGTTCGTCGACCGATCCGCGCGGTCTAACGACGAGAATACGCGACGTGCCTCGAGGATGATGGATTTCGCGCGAGGTCCGCGCCGCGTCCGTTGTTCCCGTCGGTCGAAACCAGACGGGAGGGATGGACGGGGAGAGGGTGGCGGTTAAAAGAGAGAAACGCGGAACAAAAGAAACGCAACTCAACAGTGTGCACGAGGACCGCGGGGAGGAGGATCGTCGGCGAGCCAGCGGGCAAACACGCGGTGGCGGCGAGGTAGCGGGCTTGGAGGACGTCGGCGACTCCTGCGCCGCGACGCTGACGCCGTCGGTCCCAGGCGCCGGCGGCATCAGGTCGAATCGCCGCACCAGGCCGCTCTCCCTCGCGGTGCAACCTCTAAATTACCGTCGCCTCGATCCGGATCCGAAAATCACCGTCGGCATCGTGACCAGCCTGCATCCTAACATGACTAGCCAGGAGAGCATCGGCAGCTGCAGCCTGGACGTCGACCAGTCCGCGTCCGACCGATCAGGTTGGCTATCCCTCGATGTCTAGCGTTTTACAGGAGGCTGGGACCGACCGGAGACACCCGGCCGATCACGGACGCGAGCCTGCGGAAGCTGCTTTATAACCGTTTTGCAGGGTGTCTAGCGCGGATCCTGCGGACCTCGGCGCGCTCTCGTACGATATGGAGTTGTTCGCCAACGTTCCGCGTCGAGACGACTCTCTCGGGAACTGTCGGACGCGAGCGAAATTAAATTGTATTTGATCGAGCCGTAAGTTCGCTCCGTTTGCTTTTTCTCTTCTTTTTGCTTTTTTTTTTAAATAGGAGGACGGATAATTTTGGGAATCGCGCCGATTGGACATCTAGAACGCGCTCGATCTTCGAGACAAAAATGTTCTACGCGAAATGTCCTACACTCGAACGCGTCGCAGAAAGTATAAACGTATTCGCGGCGCACGAACTTACGACTCGGAGACAATGATCGGCGAGAACGTTGGATAATAATCGGCGGAGACATGGACAATGATTTGCGAATCCCGTATCGTATCGAAAGCGCGACACGCTTCATGGTGATGTCCCCTGTTAGACTAGATGTTCTGATTAGAGAGCTTAGGCTTGTCGGAGGTGGCGACCGATGCGGTGGATGAGCTGAAAGGAGCATCGGGAATCGGTGTTTCGAGAGCAATCGTTTGATATTTCTGTGGTCGACGCCGGAGATGACCTTGCACTTGACCCGGCGGCGGAGGCCTCGTTCGCCGAGCCGTCGATCTTGGACCAATCCAAGGTCCCCCTTGGATTCCGGCACCGTCCTGCGGGCCGTTCCTTTTTCCTCGGCGTGTCTCGATCGGATTTAGATCGCGAGCGGGCGCAGAGAGCGAGTGCAACGAGTGCAGGGCAGGGCAGGGCAGGGCAGCGCACGGGTGCTTCTTTTCTATCGGCGGTGCCAAGAACACGAGGAGACTCGTTTGTCTCTTTCGCGACTCGCCCCGGCGCGACATCGCGCGTTGCCAGCCTCTCTCGTCGTCGTTCCAGGGTTATTCCTGTGTCGCGTTTCGAACGGGCACGTATATCGACCCTCGCGGCGCCGACTTTTCTCTCTCTTCGAGAACGCTTTCGATTTCCATCGCGTCCGGGACTCGCCGTCGATCCCCGATCTTTCGATATCTGCTCCGCGGAGTTTCGCCGTTGGCGGGGACCACGTTTTTTCGGTTCGGGAATCCAGGTCACCGGGCCAGGGGAGTGCGACGACGGCTAGTTCGCGAGTTCACGAGTTCACCGGTCGAGGAGTGCGCGGTGCGCGGACGCCGCGAACACCGCAGTCCCCGGTTATCGAGCATTCTACGCGGATTCGAGCGTACGGTTCGCCAAGAGTCGTCGACGTTTAGCGAGGGTAGGATAGGCGGCCGCGATCCCGGAGCCACGACCAACCGAGCAACTTTTCCTGCGCAGAGAACACCATAGACTCCGTGTCGAAGAAGACGCTGCACAGCCTGAATCTCTCTTGCAACGGCGACTCGGTCCCGTCGACCGACAACCTAGCGAACGGCAGCAGCGAGACCCTGCAGAAGTCCCACCTGACGCCCAATGAGAAGTTGAACGTCAGCAATGGTCATCGCAGCAGCCCCGAGCCGGAACAGCTGACAGTGAAGAAACCGAGCTACTTGGGCCTGGCCTGCAGCATCAGCGGCTACTCGGGGATCAATCGGTACGACAGCAAGCTGAGGGACGGATTTCGATCGAGGGACAGCAGTCCTGGGACCAGGCTGATCACGAGGGACACCAGCCCGGCGGGTTTCAGGTAAACAAATTATTATTGTCGTTATCCGTTCGAGTCCCAAGCAGCGCGATCGCGCCGTTCAGATCGTGTGTCGCGATCAAGTTTTAGCGTCGCGCGTACATCGCACAGCTGCTTTTCTTCGTTTTTTTTCTTTTTGTTTTGTTCGTCAATTTTAATGAGCGCTATCGCGCCGCTTGGTTCTCTTCGCAATTAATTAAGACAAGCGCTATCACGCTGTTCGGCATTTTTCGACCATGTTTTCTGAATAACCCCTGGAACTCAAACGGTTATTATTATTATTATTATTATTATTNCGCTCCGTTTGCTTTTTCTCTTCTTTTTGCTTTTTTTTTTAAATAGGAGGACGGATAATTTTGGGAATCGCGCCGATTGGACATCTAGAACGCGCTCGATCTTCGAGACAAAAATGTTCTACGCGAAATGTCCTACACTCGAACGCGTCGCAGAAAGTATAAACGTATTCGCGGCGCACGAACTTACGACTCGGAGACAATGATCGGCGAGAACGTTGGATAATAATCGGCGGAGACATGGACAATGATTTGCGAATCCCGTATCGTATCGAAAGCGCGACACGCTTCATGGTGATGTCCCCTGTTAGACTAGATGTTCTGATTAGAGAGCTTAGGCTTGTCGGAGGTGGCGACCGATGCGGTGGATGAGCTGAAAGGAGCATCGGGAATCGGTGTTTCGAGAGCAATCGTTTGATATTTCTGTGGTCGACGCCGGAGATGACCTTGCACTTGACCCGGCGGCGGAGGCCTCGTTCGCCGAGCCGTCGATCTTGGACCAATCCAAGGTCCCCCTTGGATTCCGGCACCGTCCTGCGGGCCGTTCCTTTTTCCTCGGCGTGTCTCGATCGGATTTAGATCGCGAGCGGGCGCAGAGAGCGAGTGCAACGAGTGCAGGGCAGGGCAGGGCAGGGCAGCGCACGGGTGCTTCTTTTCTATCGGCGGTGCCAAGAACACGAGGAGACTCGTTTGTCTCTTTCGCGACTCGCCCCGGCGCGACATCGCGCGTTGCCAGCCTCTCTCGTCGTCGTTCCAGGGTTATTCCTGTGTCGCGTTTCGAACGGGCACGTATATCGACCCTCGCGGCGCCGACTTTTCTCTCTCTTCGAGAACGCTTTCGATTTCCATCGCGTCCGGGACTCGCCGTCGATCCCCGATCTTTCGATATCTGCTCCGCGGAGTTTCGCCGTTGGCGGGGACCACGTTTTTTCGGTTCGGGAATCCAGGTCACCGGGCCAGGGGAGTGCGACGACGGCTAGTTCGCGAGTTCACGAGTTCACCGGTCGAGGAGTGCGCGGTGCGCGGACGCCGCGAACACCGCAGTCCCCGGTTATCGAGCATTCTACGCGGATTCGAGCGTACGGTTCGCCAAGAGTCGTCGACGTTTAGCGAGGGTAGGATAGGCGGCCGCGATCCCGGAGCCACGACCAACCGAGCAACTTTTCCTGCGCAGAGAACACCATAGACTCCGTGTCGAAGAAGACGCTGCACAGCCTGAATCTCTCTTGCAACGGCGACTCGGTCCCGTCGACCGACAACCTAGCGAACGGCAGCAGCGAGACCCTGCAGAAGTCCCACCTGACGCCCAATGAGAAGTTGAACGTCAGCAATGGTCATCGCAGCAGCCCCGAGCCGGAACAGCTGACAGTGAAGAAACCGAGCTACTTGGGCCTGGCCTGCAGCATCAGCGGCTACTCGGGGATCAATCGGTACGACAGCAAGCTGAGGGACGGATTTCGATCGAGGGACAGCAGTCCTGGGACCAGGCTGATCACGAGGGACACCAGCCCGGCGGGTTTCAGGTAAACAAATTATTATTGTCGTTATCCGTTCGAGTCCCAAGCAGCGCGATCGCGCCGTTCAGATCGTGTGTCGCGATCAAGTTTTAGCGTCGCGCGTACATCGCACAGCTGCTTTTCTTCGTTTTTTTTCTTTTTGTTTTGTTCGTCAATTTTAATGAGCGCTATCGCGCCGCTTGGTTCTCTTCGCAATTAATTAAGACAAGCGCTATCACGCTGTTCGGCATTTTTCGACCATGTTTTCTGAATAACCCCTGGAACTCAAACGGTTATTATTATTATTATTATTATTATTATTATTATTATTATTAAAAACCTTGTACCGAGTCTGTTCGACCGTCGAGATCGTCCAGTTTCGAGTCGAAATGACGGAGCTGCGAAACGTGTTTCAGATCGAACGAGAATCTCACCGTGCCAGGCCACCCCTATCCTCCCAAGAGCCAATCGATCTCCCCCCTAGCGATGGACAGGCAGAACGGTTTCTCAAACGGTCTGAAGGAGGAGTGCAAGGTGGAGGCGTACAGGGAATCCAGGAGCTCCATAAGCATCTGCCAAGGCTACTCGGAGGTCGACAAGGGCGTGCTGCACTCGACCTTCGGTGACCTGAGCCCGATCCGATCGGCCACCCCCGCGAAACGCAGTCCGGGCGTCTCGCAGATAATGTCCTGCAGCCAGCAGAACAAGTCGTTTACCTCGCACTTCTCTGGATCCTCTCCAAAGGCACCACCCGCCGGCAACCGTAAGTAGCTCGCAACATATGCCCGCTTTCTTGCGAGACACGAATCGATACACCGTTCAAAGCATCGCCGCGATCTCGATTACAGTGTCGAGCACCTCGTTCGCCGACTCGAGTATACTGAACGGCTCTACGGCGGACGTGGACAACCAGGTGCTGAACACTTCGTCGAGCAGCGAGAAGTCGTTCATCCAGCAGCGGGTGGAGCGGTTGTACGGGCCCGGAGCGCTCGCCCAGGGCTTCTTCTTCAAGCGCAGCACCAGCAGGCTCAGCGTCAGCGAGACCAGCTTCGGCAAGTCGAGCAACAACAACGACCTCTCGACGGACAACGCGAACACCGAGGAGTCCCTGAAGAACTTGCCGGTGCTGAGACACCTTCGGCCGGAGTTCCGCGCTCAGCTGCCGGTGGTCAGCCCCAGGAGACCCACGGATGGCTCGGAGCAGATTCTGAAACCGTTGCAGAGGTGATTCGCCCGTTAATGAGCTAATTGGATACCCAATTCCCAGACGCGCGACTCTAATACCTTCGATCGCAGGGTAACGCCGGTGTCCAGGAAAGCGGAGCAGAAACCAAAAACACCCGTGCCGGCGAACCTAGACGGCAGCATCGTCGAAACCAAGCCCCAGAAGCTGAGTTCCAGCGTGGCCAGCATCCCGGACCAACAGCCAGCTGCTCCGAAAGTAGTGTTGCCCGTTCTGGAGCCGAGCGCCAGCTCGACGAACGTGGCGAAGCAAGCACAAGAGGCCGAGAAGAAGGCGGAAGAGAAGGACGGACACTATTTCATAAAGGTATTGTATCCGGAGAAGCCGGAACCAAGCGCGGGGATCGATTATAGCTGATGGTCTTGGAAATGGTTTTTAGTTGCTGAAACAAGAGACGGACAGGCTTCTCTCGCTCGCTGCGTCGGCGGAAGCGGAGCTTGTCAGCGGCGATACTGTTGCACTTCCGGAAGAGGCAGCCGGTAAGCTGCGCTCAGCTGCTGGCAAGGCCAGGCTGCTCGCGTCGCAAAAGATGCAACAGTTCGAGGGACTCTGCCAGAAGAACATTGTGAGTGCTTTGGGCGTCGATTAAAAATAGCCGATCGTCGTTTTATCGACCCCAAGCTCGTTTAATAGGCTTCCTATGTACGTATATCGAAACGGAACTACGTTGTCGTTGCAGAATCAGGTGCCCGGGGAGGAGTTCCCGACGACGAACGAGGACCTGGCCGGTTTCTGGGACATGGTGATGCTGCAGGTGGTCCAAGTAAACGATCTTTTCGATCATATCGAGAAACTACGAAATTCCCAATGGCAAGAGGTACGTTCAGTTTCTGTTAACCCTCCCCCACCGTCCCAGATCGATGTCCCACCGAAACATTCCGAGGCAGGGACTGCTCCAAGAAGGACTCCTCGCGTGCCAAAGCCTATCAAGCACCCCAGTCCGCTCCCATCCTACGTCGCGCCCAATAAACGCGTTCGATTCGACGACGCGCCGGAAAAATGTCCAATCGAGATGCAGCCGTGCGACGATGCATTCGGAATCTTAACCGACCTTTGTAACTTCAATTCTGTCGAGACTATCGACTTCGAAGATCGCGGCACGGATTACAGAGACTGTCGGTCGCATTGCTCTGAAAATGATTTCAAACTTCCCGATAGGGACTCGCTAAAACCGCGCGCCCCGTACATCGTTAATTACGTGAACGTGCCGCAACCGAACCTGCAACAATTTCCATTCGGTGAACCGCGTCGCGGATCCTACAGTTTACTTTCTCGCGAAGATTTCCTCGAGCCAAGTATTCGCGAGCCGTTCTCGGTGAACGATCCCTTGCAGTTCAAAGTGCTGTTTCGAAAGGACGCGGACGATCTGTCGAACCAGATCAAGTTGTTGGATCCGAAACCTCGGGAAATAGACAGTAGTCTCACGGAGGTGACCGTGAAGAACGAGAAGCACCTGAACACTTACTTCTACGACGAAGACTTGCTGGTTCAGGACGTGAGACCGATCTCTCGACCGAAGTCGAAGTCTTCGAGTCCTGTGGGAAGAAGCTCGAATCGCGAAACGACAGCGAGCAATTGCAAAAGGCCAAGATCGCGGTCTCCTTCGAGCAAGTCCGTCAAAAACCCGGCGAGACCCTGCGCCGTCGATCGGTACAAGCCTCGAAGCTCACGACCTGCTTCTCCTGTAAAGCAAGCCGACAAGAAGGCTCCTCTTCCGACAAAAACTATCGATCGATCCGGCAAAGCTCGATCCCTGACGCCGCCGGCCACGCAAACCGGAGCCAATAAAAACGTTGGGAAGCTGACTCGCAGCGCTACTTTTTCGCTGAACAATAGAGGATCGACGAAACCGAGTGAAACGGTAGCTGCAAACGCGAAAGAGCCGCCCGTGAAACGCGTAAATGCGAAGAAGAAACCGTCTCCTCCGATGCGAAAGAAGCTCCAAAAGCCTTCGCCTACTAAAACGAGGTCTCAGACTGTTGAAGCAAAGACCGGTCACGATAAGGAAACATCGAAGATAAAAGAGAGAGGTGGTCGTACGTGTAACTTCACTGTCGCGAAGGAAGCATGCTCGGATGTCGATGCTCTGAAGAGCGAGGTGAAATCTCGGGTACAAAATAAGTCGGAAGAACGTCGCAGCTTCGATAGGACGAAGAAAAGAAACGAAGCGAAGGATCCTCCGAAGAAGATCGAAGCGCAAGCACCGGAACCGCCGAATAAAGTTGAGCAGAGGTCGAAGGGTGCTTCGAGGGATCTGAAACGGGCAGCTAAGGATCCGCCGAAAATGGCTGGTCCCGAGGCTTCTCACAGCATAATTTGGAAACTCAGCGACTCGAAGCCCTTCGTGCCTCTGAACTACGAGACCCTGCATCAACTGAGGCAAGTTTACACCGGTCGAAATCGCGTGAACTCGTTGTGGACGCTGAACAAATCGGACAAGCAGAAACGAATGAGGGTTTACGACAAAAGGAGGAAAATGTTGGTCAAAGGCCTCGAGCAGAAGAATCTTGTTTCTCGAGGAACGAGGACCTCTCTTTCGGAAGTAAGCGTCCCGAGGCAGGATCTGTGCCTGAATTTCTGCGACAACTTGATCAAAGAGATGGCCAGATCCGCGAGAGATCTCTCCGCGCAGACCTCGTTCGCTCTTGTCGCGATCGATGCGAACAAATCGTCCCTCGTTCCGTGCAGCGTCGCGAACGACGTTCCCGGTTGGCCGAACAAGAATCCGGAGATAGAGACGATCCTGTCGGCGCTGGTGTGCTTCGAGCCGAGGAGGCCAGCGATCCTGGCTCCGGAAAAGAGCTGCTTGAGCCTGGACAGTCGTCTCAGCGTCACGAGGTTCAGCTACGGTTTGATCGCGGAGAGACTCGACTCCTCGAAATTGAACGCGAGCGTGATCCTGGACATTTCGCACCACGTGCGCTCGGACTTCACGGTTCTCCGCGCTCGTCAGACCCGCGGGGACATCGGATCCTTCGATCTGAACGATTGTCTTCCTCCGAAAAGAAGACTCCAGATATCTCGGTGCTTGAAGGATCTGATTTCCACGCGACCCCTTCTATACGATCTCAAGGTCTCGTCGAGCCCCTTCGGCACCCCATTCTCTGTCAGATTGAAACGAACCGTGACGTTTCTGAAGTCGAATCGCACCCTGTGCAGGTTGTCCTTGTATTTGTACGTGTACGGCCTCCTGAGTCTTTTCTTTGTTCTCTTGAGAATCGCCTCGTTCTACGACCCCCTCCTGGACCCGAGGCTCCTGTACAATCATTGATCCTCGACTCATGTACCTTGCCATCGTGAAATAAACGTGATCTTGGGTGTCCCATTCCTTCTCGTTCTCTCGAATTTCGTCGTGGAAGATCCTGGAGGCTCCCCGAACCCGAACAGCTACCGAAACTTCGATTTTTCCTACGCCGAGAGGATGAACGATCGGCTTCTTCCCGCTCTCCGCTCCCGCTTCCTTGGTCTTCTAGGAACCCGTGGCCCGATTCCGAGGTATTTAACCGTGACGATTTTGTAGACCGTGCCGGAGAAGAAGTCGGCGAACGTCGGCGCGCAGAACGGTAACGCGACGAAGCGTCGCGCGGCGCCGATCCACAAGCCGAAGGCGACTGCCAACAGCGAGGCGAACAAGAAGGCGCGAGAGGCGAGGGAACAGGCTCGCAGACAGCTGATCGAGGAGCGGAGGCGTGCGATGCGCTCGAACGCGCAGAATTCCGAGAATACCGTCAAGATCTTTGCACCGGACACGTAACGATAGAAAGACAGAGCGAAGCAGCCTGTTTGGATACCTCTCGGCCGATCGGCAGCGGCCGCGGAGAGCCGGATCAAAAACGACAAAAAAAGAAAAGAAAAGAAAAAGAAAAAAACGCGCCAATTACTATGCATTTTCGCGTTCCCTCGGATCGAAACGACGCGCGATTCTTCCGAGATCTCGGCGAGAGTCGCGCGTCGCGGCGAACAAAATACCGATAATCGCTTCGACTACAACCAAACGCGCTTAGTATACGTTGACAGGGTCGATAATATTCGATGGAGATTCATTTCACAAACGATCTTCGACGATTCGTATTTTTTTATTACATACAAACACACGTACACACACACACACCTTCGTTCCCTCCGCGGTCCCGCTCGATTTACACGCTGTGATGTTTCGTGCTAATCTTCTTGTTACGTTTTATATACGATTTACGCTGTCGTTCGACTATGTACGATAGATGTCTAGCGTTTGGTTCGCGAAACGGGACGCCTGTGTTCCCGACGAAGATTGATCGTGAATACGAAAACGATAGCGGAACAGGGAAAACGGCACGGAGATTGCCCTCTTGTCAATAGAATTTTTGTACAAGTAAGAGGAGAAGGGGAACGCCGCTCGGACACAGCGCTAAGCAGAATTCTATCCCAGAGCAAGTTATATTTGTACGGTAAATCGCGTTGAAAGAGAGAGAGAGAGAGAGAGAGAGAGAGAGAGAAAGAACGATCGACGATCGCCGTCGCGACGCAGCCTACGCAGCATGCCTAAATCGATCGCGAGGCGTCGACGACCGGTCGCGACCGCGACGGAAATATTCCTATTACTTTAATCGCCTAATGTTACTCGTGTTTGAACCCCGACGCGGATCGAGCAGCCGAGCAGATGATTCTCGCGGAAGCGAATAGACGGAGAAACGAAGCTTTCGAGTGCCCTAATCGTGTGACCAAGTCGACATTCCCGTAGAAAAACGGTCTCGAAGTTTTAGATACGCCCCCGACGCCGTAGCGAGCGTCAGCACTCACAGTCCTCCCCCCCGTTAAGTTTAAGGAATAGCTAAACAAGTGTCAACAGGTGTAAATTAGAGCCGCGCAACCAAATAGCCCGCGATCAGCCGGAGAGTGCGAGAGAGAAAGGAGAGAAAGCGAGAAAGAGAGAGAAAGAAAGAATGTGCTCCCGTGCGCGTTTCAAAGAGCAAAGAGTCCTCGTGGCGTCGTGTTCCGGCGGCCCGCGTTATTTATTGACTGTTGATTCCCTCGGTGCCTTGATTAATTTATACGCGTGTACATAAATCGACTGACACACAACAGCCGGCCATTCGGCGCGGCGAGAGCGAAACGGACGAACGCTCTCGTCTCGGGCCGATTCATCGATCCGGGATTCAGGATCGCTTTGTTCTCGTTCCAAGCGTTCCACCTCGGCGAAGACCGAGAGCTTACGGTGTTCTCTCGTCGACGGGCGAGACGGGAACGTCGGATCCCTTGCACAATTATTTATTTGTCCGACGAGTCGACCAGTTCGTCGCGATTCTACACGGATTCGGCGCGCGTTTCAGGAGACCGCAGCGTCCCGCGACGATGGGAACACGGTGACGACGGGCACGCGCGCCGCTTCTCGCCGAAATTTTTGTAACAGCGACACCCTTCGTTCCTTCGTTTCCATAACGCGGTTGTACATAAGCGTGGTAGAGCAACGCGAACGAGAGATCATCCGCGGAGATCGTTGTGCAGCACCGCGTCCCGCGATTCGATCCTTCGACTCGTTTCGTTGCCCGCTCGTCCCGAGTTGTCCGTTTGTATTTTACTTGTATATTCCGTGTTCAGGGCCCGTCACGGCTTCTTGATCCACTCGTATGATAATTTCTACTCGGAAACAGTGACCACCCCCGCCGCTGCTTCTTTTATTCGTAAAGGCCGCGCGGCGCCGCCGCCGAACTTTTCAACAGATCGATCCAAAGGTGTACGAGGATTTAATCGCCATGACCACACGATCACTATTCCTATCGCCGCGTTGCGTCCCGGGATAACGCAGTTACTTTTCATCGAGAACGCGTCTACGATTCGCCGCCGAGAAGTTCGCGAGAAACGTCGTCGCGACGATCCGAATGGACGATTCGAACGACAACGATTGCGTTATTCGGGGCCGCAGCCGTTCCCCCCTCGATTCCCCGCGGATCTCGCGATTCGACGGAATCGTTCGTTCTTCGAAGAGGCGCAGAGAAAGATCGCTGCTGCCGATAGAAGAGAACGGGTGGGAATCGAAGATTTTTTTACTTATCGTTCGGGAACGATTCGACGCCAATCTACCGCGTCGATCGTCGAACGCGTTCCCATCCCTTTTTTTACGCGGTTAAACAGTTACGATTATTTATTTATTAGATACTAGTAAGATGTCCATACACTTGTTCTCAATGAATTAATAAAAAAAAAAAAAAAGAAAACGAAAAGGCGACCAGCCTCGGAGGAGAGGAAGGAGCGTGGGAGGAAGACGAGGAGAAACCCTTTTTCCCGTGTCGTAACCTTTATTAATTACGAGCGTGTCCGTTTCGTAAAAAGAGAAATTAGAAAAGTGACTGGGCTGCGGAGATTCCGCAGCGCACGGCGGAGAGTCGCTCTCGCGATAAGTACTCGATCGGGGATCGACGACCTCGCCGCGAGGGTCGTCGCGAAGATCGCCGCTCGTCGCCGGTTTCGAACTTGGTCCCGTGAACTTTCCCCGTCCCCCTCGCGACATCGACGAGAGAGAGGAGCCGGGGAACAGCTCCGTTTCACGCGAGACAGATCAGGGTCTTGCCCTCGTTCAGCTTGTCCTGGACCTTGTCGCTGGCCGTGGACTTCTCCGCCTGGCCGCTGATCACCGCGCAGACGAAGGTGAGTGCCACCCCTGTCAGGGCGCTGTAGAACGCCCAGCCTGCAAGCATTCCTGAGTCAATCATCGCGCAACTAACTAGCCTATCCGTCGCGTCCTTCGTGCCGGCCGATTTTTTCATAGGGACACTAGGAGCCTCGCAGCCTCACCGAGCTTGCAATCCGCGAGATAGAAAGCGTCCGCCTCGAGTCCGCAAATCCGCTGCACCCTCTCCGCTCCCCAGCCAGCTGGATACAGTATCATCCCTAATATGTACGATATTCCTGCCGAGAAGAGAGAAAGGGATGGACGACGAGTTTTTTTACCGAACGGAATTAGGAAACGGCGAGCGATAGAAAGAGGATGAAACACCTGCGATCACTTGAGCAACCCCGGCCAAGTTGAAGATGCTCTTTCGGCCGATGCTCTGTATGCAGCATCCGATCAGCGCGGCGAACACCGTGATCGCCATGATCGCCAGTCCGAGCAACAGGAAGAAGTAAGACGCTTTCCAGCAGCCTGGGAACACGCTGGAGTCCGTGGCGAACCCGTCCACGTTGAAGTTCCCGCAGTGCGTCCTGCCGTGGAGCCTGATGCAGCGATTGTAGACGCCGACCGTCGGGACGTACACCTCCGATCCGTTTCCTGGCGACCGGACACAAGATCCAGAGATACCGTCACCCCGTCTAACACAGTTTCTCCATTTCAGAGACACGTCGAAAATGCTTACTCGCGTTTTTAACCACCTGCGGCATCCCGATCAGCCATTTCGGAGTGATGAGGCCCGAGAACACCGCCATCAACGCCGTCAGGGACAGCAGCGTCCACAGCAGACTTCGACCAGTGACTATCACGTAGGACATGCTGGCGACCTGTACGGATCTATGCCATCCTTTGATCTCCCCGAGTCTCCTGAAACAACCGACCGGGACATTGTAAACTCTTTTTAACTGCCGACTCCGTTGGTTCGTTCGCGTGCGAGCCGGCCAAAACCGGGCGAGAATAAACGCGGCTCACATATATTTCGGAGAAAGCCGCGCGAAGCCCGGTCCCTTCCAGCGAACCGGCATTAAAAGCGAAGTCGTAACGTAAAAGCGCGCCTGCCGCTCGCGTTACCGGTTTCGTTTTTCCCTCCCGATTTCATAGGAATCGTAAACGCCGGCCAACAAAGCGCCCTTTTCTTCCGGTTGCCTGTAACCGCGCGCCCAGCGGCCGAGAGGGACGCGTTCGCGACCTCTGGAACACGGGTGGCCAAACCTTTGATCGCTACGGGCGACCCGTTCCTTTTTCTTTTCAAATTATAGGCGGCGATCTGTCGACGTCGTACGTGTTAAGCGATCATAAGGAAAGTAGTGATTTAAAGCCAGAAATAAGTTCAAAATGAACATAATAACAAACATGCGGGCGACTAGGAATAGTTACGCGGTCAACGCTTTGGCCACCCCTGCTTTAGAAGGAACGAACGAACGTTCCTGTTCGATTGGAAGCAGCCGTTCCGCTGTTTACACGTTTTCGATCCGAATCCTCTTTCGAATCGGGCCTCTTGCCTCGATCAGCCCGACAGCGGTTTACTCTGGCTCCGTGAACCGCTTCGACTCGCGAGACCCACCGCGCGCGTTTATGCGAGCGACGTTTCTTCGAAGATGCTATCGGCGGTCCAATCAATTTCTCGTTGTCGCAATTATCGCGGGCTTTGAAGAAGGAACCCTTCGGATCAAAGACGTGACTCATGCTTCTAATTAGGTCCATTCCCGTCGACCCTTGGCTGGCTCGACGCGTGCAGCGACCCAGGCCCGGCAGATCGATCGGAACCGCGTGCCCCTCCCTCAAAACTGACCTATTTTCGCTTCTAAGTTTAGATCGACTAGGTTTGGGACCCGTGGACGATGGCCCTTCTCTCCTCCCCCTCTCCCTTTCTCTTTCCCTCACCGTCTCTCTTACTCTCTCTGTTTTTCACTTCCTTTCTCTCTCTCTCTCTCTCTCTCTCTCTCTCTCTCTCACACCCTATACACGTATGTGTTCGCTAGATCTTTTATCCTCTCTAAGCCCGCAAACTTAATCGCTTCCATTCGCTCGCGCCAGACCACCGAGCCCGCTTTGATGTCGCCGCGGCCCGACGCGAACGCGACGAGACGTGGCGAATCGTTGGACCACTATATCTCGCGGTCCTCGCTCCTAAAAAGTCGGCCCGATTCGATCGGGTCTTCTATTTATGGCCGCGTTGAGCGCAGGAATTTTTCAGGGGATTTTTATGCAAATACTGGAACAGGACTGTCATCGGACTGTCTCTCGTTTCACTTAATCGATCTCGTTCCTTCGCGCCTGCCTGTTGGATGCTTTGACGTCGCCGCCGCGTGACCAGATTGTTGGATCACAAATTCCGAACACTTAATGGAAATTTTATTGTTTGCGTCCGGCGATTTATGTTTGTTAATGCTCGGACGGTGAGGTTCGAGTCCAATTGGACCCGGAATATATTTACTCTTATTTGACTGTCTAGTTTCTCTGGCAATTCGTTGAAATCGTCAACGGATTCGTTAAGCTTCGTAGAAAATCTGACGCGTCTGGATAATTGTGTCTAAATAGTATATTTTTGTCGAAATGGTCCGCCATTCGAGGGTTGAACTAACAAAATATGGGGTCAGAATTTTCTCCGCAACCTTGATTTTCGGGGACACGATTCCCTACGAAGAGATTCGCGATTCTCAATAGAGCAGGTCTCGTCTCGAACCCTCGGAAATGATTCTCGTAGGGCGAATTCTTGCATTCTTGCATCTCGCTTTTCCGCAAGGTCGTCGACAGCGTTCAGTGGAATAGGCTTCGCGCGATCCCATAGTCAGGCCGAGTAGATCGAGCCACCGAGCGCGTATCGATTGACAAAGCGGTCGCGTCCACACGGCGGACACGCCGAATAATGATGGCGACGCCCTCGAGGAGCGAGAGTTTAATTAAATTCGTTCCACGCTGTACATCTGCCGGTCTTATTTTTATCGCTTTTTGCGCGCGACCTCCGCGAGCGACCACTTGTTGTCGCTCGGTTTGCTTGGGACCGTCGCGCGATCATCGGTGTTCGCGTTCGCGTTCGAACGCGTCGCCGCCGGAAGCGCGAATTTGCGACGATCTTTGGGGCGTCGTCGCCCCGGAAGACCGTTTCGATCGGACTGGAAACATCTGTCGCCTCGCCGGAGGCTCGTTTTATCGCCAGTGCTGCCGCGAACGATCGACTCGATCCGACGAGGCATTAATAAACCGCGTTTCCACTGTTCTTTCGAAGGAGGCCGGAGGACCGAGCAGATAAGACCGGTCAAAGCTCGCGCGTAGGCCGACCGCCGTCCGGCGGGCAGCTCGCTTTCTTTTTTTCGCGTTTCTTTCGGTCGAATCGGTGCGCTCATTGTTACGGCCCGGCTGCCACGCCTTGCCCGTGTGCTCCGGGGCCCATTGTCTCGGTCCCCTCGCTGAATTAATTCCCAAAGTTTGATTTAACCAGCGGATCGGGGACGGATTTCCGATTCCACCGACTCGTCGTCGGTCGTCTCTTTGAGCAACGCCACGAGGGCCTAGCTTCTGCGGAGCTCGGACGACGTTTGGGAGACGTTTCCAGGCGGTCCTCGAGCCTCTTCCTCGAGTTCCTCGCGGAATGCGATATCTCTCCTCCGCGTCGCTCTCGGTGGCTTCTCGTTCGCGAAGCTCGCGCGCGCGGGAAGCCCCGACCATTAGTCATCCAGCAATGGGTCCTCTGTCCGGCAGCTCGTTATCAGAAGGGCGTAAGTCGTCGGCCAGTGCGAACTCCACGCTCGTAAATTCAAATCACACGTTTCCGGCCACGGCGCAGCGGCGAGCGACGCCGGTCAACGGCGGGCACCGCTTCTTCGCGAGCCACCATTATTTTCCCGAGGAGGGAGACCAGCCTGCTCCAGGATCCGACCGAGCCATCCTATCCTCCTGCGAAACCCTTCCGCTCCAGATGGAACCGATCCTCCCAGTTGCGTTAGCTTCTCCGGCTATTTCTGGCATTCCCACCCGCAACCGCGGCTCTGCTTCATCCTCGATAGCCGGCGAGAGGTAACACGATAGCGGCCACTTTCTCGCGGCAGACCTATTAAACGACGGTAGTCGGAATTCGCGGGCTCTTGCTCGTGACCGAAATAATCGGCGTTCGATTTCAGAAACTCGAGATACCTACTCGTTGCATAATCCCGCGGCGGCCATGCAATGCGGGCCATCTGCGAGCCAGCTGTCGGACAGGTGCTCCCTCCGGTTTCTTCGCCGTCCTCTTGTTTTGCGCCACCTCCGGGGATCCCTCTGGATCCCCCTCTCTCTGGACTCATCGCAGGGTTAAATCCCAGGCTCGTCTCGATTCTCCTCCGTCGATTGTTATCCGACGATAATTTATCGCGAGCTCGGGCGCGCGATCATTCCGACGAAACATTTTTTGGGAAACGATTACGCGGTCGACGGCGGTGGAACGCCGCTCGCGATTCGTTTCGCCGACAAAGTATCGTTTCTACTCGCGCCAGCAACTTTTTATCGTCCGGGATCATCGGGCGTTAAAATCGCCTTTATTCGCCGGCTGATTTACAGTTTCGGAGAACGATCCGCGTTCCGGGAACGGCCACGCCTATCCGCCATGAATCTCTTTCGATGGGGCTGTGCACGCTCCGCGCTGGACGCGTTCCCTATAAAAAACCTCTCTGGTGTTCCTCGAATCGGGGCCCACCGATCCGAAAAAGCGCGATCCTCCTTGTTAATTCCGATCGGTGCGAAATGCTCTTTTATGTTACGGAGAACTAAATTTATTTGTAAGGTGCGTTGCTCTCGACGTTTCGATACTTATCTGATTCTACAATCTACATTGTTAACGATCCTTTAATTCAGAGTGTCCTAAAAATATCTCGCGTTCTGCAAATGAGGCGTTCCTGAGGTGATTCGAAGCAACTTTTTCCTCGGAGAAAATGTGATCCGCGGCTTCGTTTACGCGTTATTAACGAAAAACAGTGACCAATGAGAGGCGAGATCAGCTGGCGCAAGATGACAGAGCCAATGAGCGGAACTGGGCTTCGTCCGCTGGTTGACATAGTCTGTGGATACTCTATGATGAAGCGTATACCACTGGTGGCCTTTGCTATAGAGACTTAGAAGAGATAGAGACACCACGAAGAAACCAGAAACATTAAGTTGCATAGCGGATGCATAGGAGACAGACTTAAGAACAATAATAAAAAACTATAATAAACTGTTAATTTTAGCGATATTTTTAGCACAAGTAATCATAACATTTACAAAAAATCGATATACACTGACACCCCAAACTATCTGGAAATCCATCCTACTAGTCTCAGTAACTGGTCCCCCTAGGTCGATAGCAAACTTTTGGACCAGTTACTGAGACTAGTGGAATTCATTTTCGGGATTTTTGAGATCTGTCCGGAAATCAATTAACAATCTTTTATATCTAAGCTTTGATGATGTAAACATTATTTTGGCACGTGATGTAACAATTTTAGTGGTGCGTCNGCGTTCGATTTCAGAAACTCGAGATACCTACTCGTTGCATAATCCCGCGGCGGCCATGCAATGCGGGCCATCTGCGAGCCAGCTGTCGGACAGGTGCTCCCTCCGGTTTCTTCGCCGTCCTCTTGTTTTGCGCCACCTCCGGGGATCCCTCTGGATCCCCCTCTCTCTGGACTCATCGCAGGGTTAAATCCCAGGCTCGTCTCGATTCTCCTCCGTCGATTGTTATCCGACGATAATTTATCGCGAGCTCGGGCGCGCGATCATTCCGACGAAACATTTTTTGGGAAACGATTACGCGGTCGACGGCGGTGGAACGCCGCTCGCGATTCGTTTCGCCGACAAAGTATCGTTTCTACTCGCGCCAGCAACTTTTTATCGTCCGGGATCATCGGGCGTTA